AAGGCCAACCTGGCCTATATAGTGAGTTCCAGGACAGCTGGGGCTACAGGGAGACCCTGTCTATTGCCTGCATGTAGGTAAGTGCACCCATGTCATGCAACCAGTGTCCTTAACCACTGAACCATCTCCCCAGCCCGGAAAAGCATTTTCTAAATCAGACAGAAGTTGCTCAGGAATTAAGGTCAGCAATCAACAAGTGGGACCTCAATAAACTAAAAATCTTCTGTACAGCCAAACAATCAATCAAAAAAGTGAAGAGAAAACCCACAGAATGGGAAAAAAACTTCACCAGTGACACACCTGACATGACAGAGGTTTAACATCCATAATCTATAAAGAACTCAAAAAACAAAGAATTGAGAAACTAAATGACCCAATTAAAAGATGGGCTAAAGATCTAAACAGAGAGTTCTCAAAGAAAGAAAGATAGCTAAGAAATATCTCAAAAAGTGTTCAACATTGTTAGTAATTAGGGAAATGCAAATAAAAACCACCCTAAGGCATCACCTTACCCCAATCAGACTGGCTAGAATCAAGAGAACCAATGATACCAAATGCTGGCGAGGATGTGGAGAAAATTGCTGGTGGGACTGAAAATTCATGCAACCTCTATGGAAAACAGTGTGGAGAGAGCCGGGTGTGGTGGTGCACGCCTTTAATCCCAGCACTTGGGAGGCAGAGGCAGGCAGATCTCTGTGAGTTCAAGGCCAGCCTGGTCTACATAGTAAGTTCCAGGACAGCTGGGGCTACAGGGAGACCCTGTCTCAAAAAGACTGAAAAAAAAAAAAAAACTAAAAACGGGGCTGGAGAGATGGTTCGGTGCTTAAGAACACTGACTTTTCTTGCAAAAGACCCAGGTTCAAATCCCAGCACCCACATGACAGCTAACAACTGTGAGTAACTCCAGTTCCAAGGGATCTTCTGTCCTCCTCCGGCATTGTACGACACAGGTGCACTTACGTACATGCAGGCAATATACACATACACATAAAATAAAAATAATAAATAAGGGCCGGGTGTGGTGGCACATACCTTTAATCCCAGCACTTGGGAGGCAGAGGCAGGCGGATCTCTGTGAGTTCGAGGCCAGCCTGGTCTCCATAATGAATCCAGGTCAGCTAGGGCTACAGGAAGACCCTGTCTCAAAAAATAATAAATAAATAAATTAAATAAATAAATAAATAAAATATTTTTTATGTATTTCATTCCCTTTTATTAGTTAAATAATTAAATACTGGAGAGATGTCTCAGAGGTTAAGAGCACTTGCTGCACTTCTAGAGAACCTAAGTTCATTTGCCAACACCCACATGACAGCTAACAATGATCCATTCCAGTTCCAGGGGATCTGATGTGCTCTTCTGACCTCCAGTGACAATGCATGTAGAAGGTACATATACATACATGCACCAAAAGGACTCGTAAACATAAAATATAGTTTTTTAAAAATTTATGTATATGAATGTTTTGCCTACATGTATGTAAATGCTCCCTTAGGTGGAATGCCTGTGAAAGCCAGTTTAAAAGCATATTGAAGAGGATGCATCAGATTGGATATGCCAGGAAATTCTATGGTAACAACTGTAAGGTTTAAGTACCTTGCCCAAAAGCAAAGTAAAATAAACAGCAACAGATATCTTTCTTTTACACACTGTATGTCCATTGTTGGCTGCCTGTTTCTTTATTCCACATTCCCTTTGTTCATATAGATGAAACTTATAAAAGAAAAGGAGCCAGGAGCTCTTCCCAAGCCCGTGTGACCCCTGAGGAACAGATCCTCAAATGGCCTTAAGAATAAAAATAATTTGGTTTACCTGGGCCAATGGCATGGTCTTAAACACCCCAAAGGAAAGTATAACCAAAGAGTAAAGTCATCAGCATATTTCTTTAAGAGTTCAAAGGATTACACTTCCCAGACAATAGGCTTAAGTCTATATAAAAAGTTATTTAGACAATTATTTCTCATTGATAATTTTGTTCCTATTCAGAAAGTGCTGCTCAGATGTAAGACTTCAAATATTGGTTTCCAATGCTGTAGTGCCCACCTGTAGCTAAGGGAGACAACCTGGTGTTGTTCTAAAATGATGGCTAAATTTGTTTTCTCTCCTTATCTAGAAGCCTTTGAGAGAGAATTGACACTGATTCTAACCACTCCAACAGCTATCAAAATACCTGAAAACAAATCCTGAATCCATCACTCTAGAGTCCAGCCTTGGGAGACAAAAGAAAAATGAGGAGCCCAATAGAGGGATGATTTTGGAAGCCCTTGTCAAGAAATTCCAATGGACTCTCATATGAACATTTGAAAATTGTCCTACTCTGACTTTTTTCTAGTTCCCTGCCTAGAATTTGTAATGCTAATTATTCTTGCCTTTACTTCTCCTTCACACACACAAAAAAGTTATGCAATTTGAGAGTCTTTTAGGTAGAACCACTGAAGGGGTACCCCAATTGCCTCACCCTGGGTCCCTGTTCAGCATAGAAGAAGCCAGAGCGGTCTGTGTCCAGATTCCCTAACCACAAGTTGGGTAACCTCTTCAGAGGATGGTGTGATAAGAATAGGAGGTAGGAATTGACTAGGCATTTAGGGTAAAAAGACCCCAAAGAAAAGTAGCCAGTTTTTTGGCTAAAAGTCACAATGTCCTTGGGCCTCTTAGCAACACCCTCCATTCCAAAGGCCAAAAATACTAAAGTATTTGGGAGCTTTTATCTAATCCTTAAAAGATTTTAGGGTTACCTCTTCAGAGTGGGGAATGTTAGGGTAGCAAAAAGCCCCACAAAAAAAAGAAGAAGAAAGTATATGAAGTTATCAGAAAAAAGTGATGGCGAGATATGGGAGGAGTTGGAGGGGAGAGAGTGAGCATGGATTTGATCAAAACACCTTATATGCATGTATGAAATTCTCAATAAATTATTTTTTAAAAAAAAGAAAAGAACTTGATGTTAAAAGACCTTTATTTGCATCTTCAGCCCTCACTCTGCCGGCTATGGACTGAAGTAGTAAGAGAACACCACCATGTGGCACCCTGGCTTCCTCCCTTGAGCTCCTGGACACCAAGTCTGGCCAGCCTTGGTGGTTCCTGTGTTTCTGCAGCCTCCCAGGCTCAGGACACCTTGTCAACCCAAGGAATTCACTCAAAATTCCCCTGTACCCTGAGAAGCTTGTACATTAACTAGTTTTAAAATATTGAGCTATAATTCTGACTCAATTGTCTCTTTATACCCCAAACCAACACTAAAAATTTACTAAAAGAAAATATACAGGGGCTGGGAATGTACTGCAGTTGGTAGGCTGCACAAGGCCCTGTGTCCAATTCCCAGCACTGCATAAAACCAAGAGTGGAGGTACACAACTATAATCCCAGGACTCCAGAGGTAGAGGCAAGAGGATCAGAAGTTCCTTGGCTACATCTACATAGGGAATTTGAGGCCAGTCTAAGCTATGTGAGACCCTGTCTCAAAGAAAAGAAAAGAAAAGAAAGAAAGAGAAAGGGGGAGAGAAAAGAGGGAGGGAGGGAGGGAAGGGAGTCAATAAATATGAAATATGGCAAATATTTATGAAGATGCATTATGAAACATTATGTTGTATGGTGATCTAAAAAATGAACAAAATGCTTAAAACTCTGCTGGAAGGAAGGAAGGAAGGAAGGAAGGAAGGAAGGAAGGAAGGAAGGAACGAAAACAATGAAACAATGGACAGGGATGTAGGGATGTATATGCTAAGCATATTCTATCAATGAGCAACACTCCCAGATGCCTGTATATTCCAAATATTAAAATGTGATTTGGGGGACATGATGACATACATCCTTAATCCTACCACTTGAGACCAGGCTGGGGGACATAGCTCAGTGATAGAGTACTTGCCTAGCATGCCCATAGCCCTGGTTCAATCCCCAGTACCACACAGGTACATAAAATAAATAAAGGGCCGGCCAGGTGAAAACACATGCCTTTGACCCCAAGCAGAGGCAGGTTGATCTCCGTGAATTCGAGCCATCCTGTAAAAAAAGAAAAGAAACAAAAAAGCAGGTGTGGTGGTTTATACCTATAATCACAGCTCTTAGGAGGCTGAAGCAAGAGAATTGCCTCAAGTTCAGAGCCATCCTGGTCTATACAACAAGTATTAGGCCAGTTAGGGAGGGGAACATAGCAAGACCCTATACCAAAAAATAAAAAGTCAAGCATGGTGGTACCTGCTTGTAAGCCCAGCACTTGGGAAGTGAACATAGGAAGATCAGTTGTTCAAGGCCAGCCTAGACTATATGAGACCCTATCTGAAAAAAAAAAAAGTTCAATGAGTTCAAGGCCAGCTTTGGCTACATAGTGTGTTCAACTAGAATTACATTATAAGATCCTGTCTCAAAAAAGAACAGCAAAGAACAAAAAAAACTTACTTGACTTTAAAGCAGAAACCAATATTTTTAATCATTACAATTATAATCATGTTATAAAAATGAAATAGAACAAAAGTTGAACCCCTCTCTGAACTAGGTAACAGAAAACAAGGCTGCTTTTCTAGTTACCCCAGCACCAGGCACCAGTCACAGTATCTGACACACATTTTAGCATTCAGCTTCCCAAATCGCCATGTGCAGTGGGGATTTACTAACAATAAGAAATCATGACTACCTGGCAAGGAAGCAGAGGAGGACTTTTTCCTTCCTTTACCCTTTCAGTTCACAGGACAAAGGAAACTCAGGTACTCTTTTCACACGGAACTACCAGTCAACCCTGTGGACCCATGAGACAGCCTGTTTGCTAAGACTTGACTTTTTTTTTTCCTTTTTTTGGTCTTTTTGAAGCAGGGTCTCCCTGTAGCCCCAGCTGTCCTGGAACTCACTATGCAGACCAGGCTGGCCTTGAACTCAGAGAGATCCGCCTGCCTCTGCCTCCCAAGTGCTAGGACTACAAGCATGCACCACCATGCCTGGCTAAGACTTTTAACATACACCACACCTCCAAGAACAGTACTGAGTGCCCCAGGCCTGAAAATACTTACCTAAGCACATCCTCTGGAGATTTCTGTTGTAGTCTCTTTCCCAAACCAAACCCAAAGAAGCACACAGCAAACATGGGAGTGACCCCGATGATGGGCGCAGCCATGCCCCGATATAGCCCTGTGATGCCCTGCAAGGAATCACAGAAGCAGAATCTGTTTTCAGATACTATTATCAGATACTATTATTTTCCCTCTCTCTCTCTCTCTCTCTCTCTCTCTCTCTCTCTCTCCCCTCCCCCTCTCCTTTCAGTGGTGGAGATCAAACCACTAAGCTGTACCCCCAACTTACTATCACCACTGAAACAGGGAAGCCATGTATCCTGTGACCAATGGCTTCCTTCATTTCTCTTCACCTCTTCTCTGAGCACAGAAATCTCTCTTCTTTATATATGTGTGTGTGTGTGTGTGTGTGTGTGTGTGTGTGTGTGTGTTTATGTGTGTGTATATGTGTATGTATTTGGGTGCTCATGTGTGTGCCAGTGTGCATGGAGGTCACATGGGTGTTGTTCTTTAGGCACTATCCACCTTTATTAAAATTCATGTATAAGTATGTATATGTGTCTGTGTGAGTGTATGCCACAAGTGGTGTGTGCATGCCTAGAAAAGGATATCAGATCTCCCTGCAGCTAGAGTTATAGGTAGTTGTGATTACAGACAGGTGTCACCATATCTGGCTTTGTTTTTTCCTTTTTATCCTTTTCTTGGGGAGGGGGCTTTTAAAAGGAAGAAAATATCTATATCATAAATCACAAATAATTGTCCTCCTGAAAAGTCCTACTGAAGAAACTAAAAAGATTTTCCATTCCAGAAGGTAATTGGACAATATGTAGCATGGCATTTGTTTTCATATGGAAATTCTCTGTCTAGGGCCTTGGAAGATAGGTCAACAGGTAAAGGTAAGGTGCTTGCTATGTAAGCATGAAGAGCTTAACTGCCCCCCTCAGCCCCATCACCCATGAAAAAGGCCAAGAACACATCTGTAGTTCCAAGCACTGGGAAGCAGGGACAGGAGGATCCCCAGGGCTCACTGGCCAGCTAGTCTAGCTTTAGTGAGGTTCAGGTTCAGTAAGAGGCCCTCAAAAATTAATCACAGAAAATAAGCTAACAGGGCTGGCAAGATGGCTCAGTGGGTAAAGGCGCTTGCCACCAAGTCTTACAATCTGAGGTCAAACCCCAGGACTCACATGGTAGAATGAGAGAATTGGCTCCTATGTAAGTTGTCCCCTGACCTCCACATGCTTGGCTCCACATGTACACACACACACACACACACACACACACACACACACACACACACACAAAGGAATTTTAATGTAGAGAGGGATAGAGGAGTCACTCAACCTCAACCTCTGGCTTCTACATGTATACACAAGCACATGCGCACACACACAAACAAGAGCTTCATTAAATTCTTGGCTTAGAAATATATAGTAAGGAAATACTCAGAGATACAAAAACAAAAACAAAGAACACACATAGCCTCAAGCACTTATATAGTGCCAAATATTAGGAACAAAAGTAAAGGCTGACAAGTATGAGTTCCATAAACAGACGGGAAGTCACACTGTAACCTGAGCTGACCACAGAAGCTATAGCAATGTGGGGTGCAGGACTGCATTCCCAGCATTCCTCAAGAGGCTAAAGCAAGAAGTTCAGAGCTCAAGGGCAGCTGGGACTACAGAGTGAGAGCCTGTCTCAAAAGCAAAACAAACAAAATAAAACAAACCTAGGATGTACAATGTGATCTAATTTCTTTAGGGAAAAAATGACAAGTGATTAAGAAATTTTATTCTCTACAATTTTTTGTTTGCTTCTTCTGTTTTTTGGTGGTTCTGAGGATAAAACTCAAGGTTTTATACATGCTAAGAGCATACTCTACCACTAAACAATACCCCCAGATCCTGTACTTTCCAAATATTAAGAGGTGATTTGAAACCAGGTGTGTTGAAACCAGGCATGGAGGCACATGCCTTTAATCCTAGCACTTGGGGGGCAGAGGCAGGAGGATCTCTGTGAGTTTGAGGCCAGCCTGGTCTACATAGCAAGTTCCAGGACAGGGGAAACCCTGTCTCAAAAAGACCAAAAAAAGATGTGATTTGAGGGCCAGGGGTGGTGGTCCACACCTTTAATCCCAGTGTTGAGGGGGGGGCGGGGTAGATGCAGGCGGATCTCTGTGAGTGCTAGTGTGGTCTACATAGAGTTCCAGGCCAGTTGTGGGTACAGGTAGACCCTGTCTCAAAAAAAAAGTTGTGATTTGAGCTGAGGATATAGCTCAGTTGATAGAGTGCTTGCCTAACATGCATAAAAACCCTGAATTCAATCACCAGCACTGCATAAATTAAGCATAGTGACACAGTTCTCTAACCCTAGCATTTGGGTAGTGGAGACAGGAGGATCAGAAGTTCAAGGTTATATCCTTGGCTATTCAGTGAATTTGAGGACAACCTGGGATACATAAGACCCTGCCTCAAAGTGCCAGGCCAGCCAGGTTTACATAGTAAGAGTGACATCCGCTGGGCATGGTGGCACACACCTTTAATCACAGCACTTGGGAGGCAAAGGCAGGCGGATCTCTGTGAGTTTGGGGCCAGCCTGGTCTACATAGTGAGTTCCAGGACAGCTGGGGCTACAGGGAGACCCTGTCTCAAAAAGACAAACAAAAAAAAAAAAGAGTGACATCCTATCTCAAAAAACAAAAAAGGGCTGAAGATGGTTCAGCATTTAAAAGCACTGGCTGCCCTTCCAGAGGACCCAAGTTCAGTTCTCAATACCCAGGTGGTAGCTAACAAAAATCAGTAAATCCAGTTCCAGGGAATCTTATGCCCTCTTCTGGCCTCCTTGGGCACTGCACACACATGGTGCATCTACATGCAGGCAAAACACTCATACACACAAAATAAAAATAAATAAAATGTTGTTTTTTATTTATTTTTCTTTTTTTTTTTTTTCGGTCTTTTTGAGACAGGGTCTCCCTGTAGCCCCAGCTGGCCTGGAACTCACTATGTAGATCAAGCTGGCCTTGAATCCACAGAGATCCACCTGCCTCTGCCTTCTGAGTGCTGGGATTAAAGGCGTGTGCCAGCATGCCCAGCTTATAAAATGTTTTGTTTTGTTTTGTTTTGTTTTTGGTCTTTTTGAGACAGGGTCTCCCTGTAACCCCAGCTGTCCTGGAACTCACTATGTAGATCAGGCTGGCCTTGAACTCACAGAGATCTGCCTGCCTCTGCCTCCCAAGTGCTGGGACTAAAGGCGTGCGCCACCACACCCAGCTGCAAAAATATTTTTAAAAACAGAGGGAATCTGTATTAGTCCAAAAACCTACTGAAAAATTACACATACAATATCTCTACATGTGTCTGTGTGTATAGCTGAAGGCTATATAACGAGAAACAGTGTCAGACAGGAGAAACCTTCCTTTGAGTTGTTGGCCAGGGTAGTCCAAGAGGCTCCCAAAATTACAAAAGCTATAGCCCTTCATTGCCTCCCAGAACTTGAAGGTAAGACCCTATTGTTGAAGACAGGACATACTTTGGACACAGGATTTGGAGCAATGGAGCTAGAACTGACTTGAGGCCACCTCCCCTGAAGGCTAGCCCATCTCATAGCTTTGGAGAGCACTATGCAAGCTACTAAGGGAGAATGTCAATCTATGGTCCAACCCCAGCTTCAAGGCCTAAAAATTACATCAATGACTGGCACAGCAAACAACATTGGTGTAGTGATGGCACTTTTATCTTGGGGGTAATCAACAGCTCCATAATTGGACTTAAAGCCCACTCAATGGGAGAAAACTCATGTGGTGCTGTAAATCTAGCCAAATACACATAGCTGGAGAGGTCACAGATCTTAGAGAAAACCCCAAGCTTCGCACATCCCTAGACAAATGTAATTTATTACTATGTGCAAAATATTTATAGACAAGTATCCCAGTCACCACCCATCAAAGAAGCTTCTTTTTCAACAGAGATTATTACAGAGTTCCACAACTGGTCACACACAGAGATTGTCTGTGAATTGCCCAAGCCTAAGTGGCACATCTACAATACAACCTCTTCCTACACCTAAGGTTCACAAAACATAGAACAAGGGATGACAAGAACACTAATGCATCTTTCAATTCCCATCAATGAAGTTTCCTCATGCAACAGAGGGCCAGGAACACAAAAGATCACAAATGGCCAAAACGTAGAGAATAAGAAGAGTCTACAAAGTGTGGGTCCTTGGACAGAACTCCTGTCCACCTACCCAAGGCTCAGGGACCATTGCAAAAGAGGGAGAAAGACTGTAAGCAGAGAAGTGGTGCATGACCATATGCAAATACAGTCCTACAGGTTCCTAGGACCCTTCTTATATGAACCTACAGCAATGGTGTCAGCATTCACAAGACCCATACAAACTTAAGCAGACAAAAACCCAGCATAGAACTGTGGAAATGGACAGCAGGCCCCAATCTTAGTTGAAGAATTATTGGCAGCTGATTACTGCTGAGTAAGGAAGAGATGATCTTCTTAAAGGGACTCTAGATAAGCTGACTAGACCTCAGTGAATGAACTTGCACTGAGGGACATCTAGGGACACTAACTTGACATGATAGGCCTTAACACAAATGACAGAATGTATGAACGCCAGTGAGGGGGCTATGGGAGGGGTCCAATGGGGAAGGGGATATAAAGATGATTAAGATGTTCTATAAGAAACACACAAAAATTCAATAAAAATTTTTTTTTTAAAAACACAGCACTGGTTGCTTGTGCAGAGGACCAAGGTTTGATTCCCAGCACCTACATGGTTGCTAACAACCATCAATAACTCTAGTTCCAGTGGATCTGACACCCTCTTCTGACCTCCATGGGCACTGCATGATACAGGTACACTTACATACATGAAAGCAATACATTCATATACATACAATAAAAATACAATTTTTTTTAAAAAAAGAAAGGGGGCTAGAGAGATGGCTCAGCAGTTAAGAGCACTGGCTACTCTTACAGAAGACCCAGATTCAAATCCCAGCACCCACATGATAAATAACAACCTTTTGTAACTCCAGTTCCAGAGGATCTGATGTCCTCTTCTGGTCTCCACAGGTACCACAATACACCAGTATACTTACATACATGAAAACATA